CAGGCATTTTCCCTCGGCTCCGTCGAGAGTATCGCCCCACTGTCTTCCGGACTCTTGTTCTTGAAAAGGTTTGCCTCTTCTGGGCACTTCACACACACGGAATCACCCAGCACGCGGTCTTCATGCCCGGCTTCTCTTGCTGAGCACATTTTCGGGCCCCACCCATGTTACAGCACGTGTCAGAATTCCACTCCCTTCCATGGCTGAACGACAGGCCGTTGCGTGAACGTACCACGTTTTATTTATCCATTCATCAAGCGATGGCCATTTGGGTTTTTTCCACTTTAGATATTATACATACTGCTGCCCCGAACATCCACGAACACGCTTTCTGCAGACCTCGGTCTTCAGCTCTCGGGGGTGTCCGTCCCGGGGTGGAGTCGCTGGGTCACGGGGCAGCCGTATGCCTGACCTTTGCGGAGCTTCCTGAGCGGCTGCGCCCCCCCGCCCCCCCCAGGGACGCACCAGGGCTCCTGCTCCCCACGTCCTCGCCAACACTCACTGTCCGCCTTGTTCTTAAATTCGATTTCAGCACCTTGGGGGTGTGAAGTGGCATCTCACAACGGTTCTGGTTTCCATTTCCCGGATGGCTGAGGACTTTGAGCTTCCTTCCACGGTGTGTTTGGCCATTTGTGCGTCTTCTCTGGGGAAATGTCTACTCGGAGCCTTCGTCCGATTTTAACTGGGCCGTCTTTCTGTTGTGCAGTTGTAAGACTTTTTGAATCTATATTCTGGATGCCAGTCTCTTATCAGACATCTGATCTGCAAATATTTTCCTGCCATTTTGGAGATTTTTTAAAAAACTATCTTTATGGTATTCTTTGAAGTACAAAAGTTTCCACTTGGATGAAGTCCAGCTGGCCTATTCTCTTCTTTTGCTGCAGATGCTTTGGTGTCTGGAAACAAGTTTTCCATTAACTTCTCTTCTGGGAGTTTCTGGAGCACTCGAGTGCTGTGAATTCAGGACCCAGACCTGAGTCAGGCGCAGGCGTGTTGCCGTTTTTGCTGCCCAGCTGGCCAGGCAGGCAGACCGACCTCCTGGGGCAGAGAGGTTTGGTCTCCCCTTTCAAAGGAGGCACAGGCCTCAAGAGCTCGTCTTCACACAAAGACCTCGGGTCCAAGTCCCCGCCTCACAGAGACTCAAGGCTGAATCTCCTGGTCCCGGATGGACATCAGATCACAAATCCTCACCTACCTGGATGGGTCTGCCGCCCCCACCCCCGGGGCAGCCGCGCACCAGCTCAGCCCCTCCCCGTTTTCAGTTCCCTTTATCCTCTGACATCTGGGGGTCTCCCCATGTTTCTTAGGAGCCCATCAGTAGGTTTCAAATTTCAAAAATCTGTTTTGTATTCATAATTTTTGAGTTATTGCATAAATTCTCTCTATATATTTTAAATATAGAATATTACACGTGTATCAAGAACATGTAACACTAACTGCCTGTTGCTGGAGTCAGAGCGGCCCCTCAGAAGGTTTAAGTTCTCCTCTTTGTCACAAAGATTCCGCGGCAGAAGATAACAGAGCTTTTCAAAAGTCTCGTGATCACACAGCGGGAAGCTGAGCAACGAGTGTCTCAGTCCTTTTTTCCCACAACGTAATAAACCTGTACCTGAGAGGAAGCGGGAGGGCACCCGAGGCCGCCCTGGCCGCCCTGCAAACCCCCGGACGCTGGACGCCATCACCCTCTGCCTGCGCGCCGGATCCTCTGTGACCGCGAGGCGCCTTCATCACGGTTCGGTCCCCTGGGTCTCTGAGCCGCGGCTCCAGGGCCCCCCCCGCCCACCTCCCGCACCCCTGCCTCCACCCAGAGAAGAAGATCAGGACGGAATCAAGTCACAAACCTGCCTGAGAGCGTTTGCTCCAGGACGGGAGGCCGGCTGGAGCGCGGGGCTGGGAGTGGGCTGTCAAGCTGAGTCACCCCCCACCGCCCACCAGAACCTACACGTGATGACTGTCAGGTTCAGACCTCTCTGGTGTCGTTGGTGGGAATGGGGGGTGAGCCATAGAGGCTGGGAAGAGAAATCTTCATCCGGGGCTGCCCAAACTGTTTCACGTCCTGACACCCAGGGAAGTGGCACTGGGGTGACACACAGCGGCACTGAGCAAACCACCTGCTGCCTGGGGACCCAGACCTGCCGCTGTCCCCCCACCTCCCCCCGCCTCGGCTGTGGATGTTACTGCACCATCAGACCCGAGGCAGCACGGGGTAAGAGAGCAACAAACAGAAGGGGGAGCGGGGGCCAGCACGGCCCACCCAGGGTTAAACCGAGCTCAGAGTGGACCACTTCCTCATCCAGCTTCCCCTCCTGGCCCCACGCCCACTTCAGACTCTCCACGTCCCAGGCACTGCCTCCAGGGTTTTCGTGTACCTCTTTGGAGCCGCTAACCGGGCTCCTCTGGTCAGGAGCAGGCAGGGCGGGGCTGGGGTTTTCGGGGCCCCGGGTGCCCTCCTCCCTCCGCAGTGCCTGAGTCCTGATGCCGATGCCTCCGAGGCCGCCTCTGGAGGGGCCAGCAGGCCCCGCGCCCACCCGGCCCTCCGCGCTCTGCCTGGGGCACGAGACGTTCTCCCAGTGGGCTGCCAGGCACTGGGCCTTCCTAACCCATCCTCTGCGTGTTTCTCATCAAGGCCGCTGGATGCTAACTTTTCCACCGAAGGCAGTTTTTAACGCTTAGAAAATTAATGAGCTTTGTTATTTAAAATGATGACAGTGACAGGAAGACTGTCTTCAAACACTGTCTCAGCCCAGGGACAGAAGCAGAGGGTCCTGGGGCATTTTCAAGGACACTGGGATGGAAACAGCTGCCAGTGGGTTGGTGCTGGCGGCCTCCTGCCTCCCTCTTCCCGCCCTCCTGCCCCACGTGGGTTCCAGGGCGACCACTCGGGTTCTGTCCCCGTGCAGCCTTGAGGAGCTGAGGAAGAGGAAACAGCTAAGGGACGTCGGAGCTGAGACGAGAGCGCCTTGGAATTTCCACTCATCGGAGACACCGCCAAGCGAAGGACCTCGATGTCTGGAAGGGACCAGCCCCTCCTAGGGGAGGGGCGGGAAGCCTCGACCTGCTGACCAAGGAGCTAGTTCCCGGCCTCAGGGTTCCTACCTTCTCACGCCTCCCCCGTCAGGCAGAGGTGGGAAGGTGTTCTGAGAACAACTGCTAGCCGCCTGCTCGGTGGGGAAGCAGCGGCCGCTCGTCAGGCGGGAGGAGGCGAGAGGGGGAGAAGGTCTGTCTTTCCAGGAGGAGGCGTCACTACCTCAGACTCGACGGAAGGAGCTGGTCTGTGCCTCAGTGAGTCTTTGGGGGGTGTTATCAAAGAAGAATATGTATGTAACTGAATCACTGTGCTGTGCACCAGAGCCTAGCACGGAGTCGTAAGTGACACTTTAACTGAAAAACAGCATCATTAGCAGCACTCTTTCCTGGGCTTCCACAGACGCAGGCCCGGCCAGCAAGAGTCCTGGAAACCCCTGCGGACCGGTCAGTCCAGGGAGCCCGGAAGGCGCGCGTTCTGCAGAGACCACTGACCGCCTTCCCTTCCCTCTTGACAATCAGCAGGACCCCGCGCCCCGTGGGTGTGAGCAGCGGGCTGTGTGTGCTCCTGAGCAGGGGTTGGGAGGGAGGCGCGCCCACCCTGAGCTCATCCTTTCCCTCCTGGGGGCTGCAGGCCAACGGTGATCCGTCCTACAGGGCAGCACCTGGGTCCTTGAATCACCTTGTGGACAAGAGCCACCCAGGACAGGAATGCCCACAGTGGACCAGAATGAGTGAGAAGAGAACTTCTCTGGTGCTGAAGCAATTGAACTTTTGAGGGTCTATTTCTTAGCGCAGGGGAGACTCTCTCCACATATCACGCACACGACTTTGCCAGGAGGAAGTTCTGAATGGCCTGCATCATCCCTGACTGAATAGGTGCTGACTCTGCCCTGGTAGAACTGAGCACCCAGTTCACAGCGGCGCCACGAGCTACAATGAAGTTTGACGTAAGCTCCTGTCCAGGTCGACCCATCACTGGGGTTAGGACAGCGTCAACACAGGCACGGCTGGGAGGAGCCAGGGAGACGCCTGGGAGACTTGGGGTGCTGGGCCGCGTCTGGGAGGCCCCGGGAGGGCCCCGTCTCACCTGACTCCCGCGTGCGGCCCCGCACGGCCTCGCTCCAGGGCCCGGCCCCGATGGCGTTGAAGGCCTGCACCTTCAGCTCGTACTCCGTCCACTCCTCCAGCCCCTCCACGGTGAACTCCCTCTCCAGCCGGTCGCTGACGACCTGGGTCAGAGCGGCGGCCTGGAGGTCTGGGCGCCAGTACTTGATCCTGTAGCCCACGGACTCGGGGTTCCCGTTGTACCGGGAATCGGGCAGCGGCTGGAAATGAGCAGCAGCGCGGTCAGCTGATGCCTGGGCCCGTCCGTGCGGCCTCCGCGCGGGCCTGGACGCCCG